GGTGGCGGGGGCGTGGCAGAGTTAAGTGGGGAGCTCCCCCAGACAGCTGCAGTGCTGTCGGCATTGCAGACTGCCTGCAGACGCTGCTGGTGGCGTTGACAGCGGGGGCGGGGACGAGTGGTGACTGCCTTCAGGCACCGCCAACAGTGTCAGTGCTACCTTTTCACAGGGGGTGCACATGCACCTGTGTGCATCCCCTATGTGTTGCCAATGTGAGGGCCCATTACAATCTGAAAGGTTTGACTTAATGTTGGCTTGGTGGCAGTAAAGGTGGAAAAAGGTGTCCCTGTTTATCTTACTTTGCTGTAATTCAGGCTGTTGGGGTACCAGCTTCATGAGACCTGAACAAAGAAAACTGTTTTAACCTTCTAGACTAGTGCCCAGATTTTAGAACCAGTTGCCATGCTGTAATGTCTCTAGAGGTCATCTGACTAGTTTGGAATCCTCTTCCTAATATGGTATTTATCATAGCACAGAGCATAACTTTGTCCCAAATATGGTGCAAGAGAGGAGGTTGTTTAATTAAGCTGTGTCTTTAATTTACTTGGTAGGGAAGCTCATTAGGCCCATAATTTGTCATGTTACTAGATCTCCCAGATTGTTCCTTCTCATGTGCATGTTCATTCACTTGTACAATTTCCCTTGCCTCTCCTGGGTCAGGAAACCCAAGAGGACATTCACTGACTCCATAGCATATCTGTCCATCTGTGACAATTCAGCGCTTCCTTACAACTGAGGTCCAGCAACTGGTAATCTGCCTTTGGGCCAAAAACACAAGACTGTGCTCTCTCATGTAGTCTTGGACTCCTGTGACCCATTCCCATGATTCTGAAGGAACAAAGAAAGACTGTATCACATATAAATAATTAAATGAAAAATGCAGGGCAGTGTCTCTCATCACTGATGGACATAACCTGTTTGACTCCTGTTGTAAAAATGCTTGTGTGTATTAACCAATCTAGTCTCCAGCAAATGGATTCACAAAAGGAACTGGACAATATGTGGTCATGACTACACTAGGAACTGAAATTTCACTTTTTCAGATAGTAAGGGCTGACTGGCATTAGATGTCTTCATATACTAGGCAAGTCTGTACTGCTTTGCCTGGGCAAATCCTAGGGGCTTGCAGTTGCTTTGCATTTGCACAAAGCCAATCAAGAACTAGGGTTCCAGTAGTCTAGGTCCTTGGTGGCTTCCAGCACCAGCTCATACAGTTCCATCCACTTCCAACTGAAGAATAGGAAGTTTACCAATATGGGTTACTGCTTTTCTTTTACATCAGGGTCATGCTTCTTGTTCCTGCAGGTAGTTGCTGCCATTAGGACAAGCAAGTGTACCTCTGAGATCCCAATAAACATTACTTGCATTGGTGGAAACCACAGACTCTGTGTCCCCTTCTACCCCCCCACCCCTTATACATTCAAATAATATTTCAGGTCCAACTCTGCTACCCAATTCTCCCTTCAAGAAAACCATTTTTCACTGATTAAGAGATTTCCAACACTCATCATAAAACCTTTATCTCTTAATTTGCATTTAGTCATAAATTAGGTCTGATTGTGATGAAGGAGGCTGTTCACTGCCTGCTTTATGCAAAATATCCATTTAGAGGACATTATCCAAGATAGGGAAATGAAGATGGCCATACCCATAGTTCATGCAAAATAATCTTGGATTTGCCAGCTCTTCTAGCCACCTCCTCAGTTCTTTCCTGTTTATCTGTGGCTAGAAATATCAGCTTTTGTTTCTTGTCCAGTATGTCTATACTGTAGACTGCAGCATAATGTAGAGGTACCCAAGCTAGCTTTAATTGAGCTTGCTCAGGTGCTGGAAGTAGTCTATTCACAGTAGCATGGAGCTCTCTGTGGACTAATTTACCATGACAGGAAGAGTAAATTAGCCTGCACTGAGCTCTCTGCTGCTGCAGCTAGACTGTTTCTGGTACCCAAGCTAGTTCAGGCATTTTTGCACACCCTTAATTTCCAGATAAGACAGCTGAGTGATGGAGGTGGAGGGGGTGAAGTGCTTTCTGCTTCTTTGTTCACAGCATTCCTAACTTTCCAGTCAGTGTACAGTGAAACCAACAGGCTTTTATCCTCTTGAATCCACCCTTTCCAAAAAATAAAATTTTACCCATGTGTTCCTCCATATATACTAAACAGTTACTCTTAAGCTCTTAAATGTCAGGTAGGAAAATCCTCTTTGGAGATTTGTTTCCTCCCTGAGCTATGTGCAGATGAGTAAGCCATTTCCCTTCCTTAGGATATCCTTACTTTTTCTCTTGAACATAGCTTTTGTCCCTTCTCCCTATGGAGTGCAACTCAGAATCTCTTGATTCTGGCCATAGCTGTATCCTTTCGCTGGAAAAAGCTTTTTTTGTTACAGGCAGAGATCACACTGTTGTACAGATAGCTTGGGCTTTATCCACCTTCAGCCAAGAATTGCATTTAATACAATCTTCTTTCACTGCTACTACTCTATTTTAGATAGGATACAGGTTGGAGGGGTATGTCTTTAGGTGTGCAGCAGGCAATGGCTACCAGTTCAGCTGATGTTTCTCTCCCCCTTCCCTACTTCCTGACCAGCTGTTCAGTCCCAGCCACTGATGTGAAGTACTCTTAAGCACTATTAGCCTTCTCTTTTTCCTGCCAGTGTTTTAAAGTTGTAAGGGTTGTATTCTAGTTGGAATAGCGAATTTATTTTGAAACAGTGATTGCGCTACCTTTCTGCCATCTTATTCAGTAATCTGAATTCTTATATATTTGAAAGACTGAAACACTTTCTTATGGACTTCATAAGTCTTGTTATGTAACCAAAACTTGATATATATATTTAAAGAAATAAATTATAAAGGACCCAACCAAAGAAACACAAAAAATATCTAAAATGCAGGGAAAATTCTGAAATATCCTTGGTTCTAATTTAAACCATTTTCTTTTTCTGTGCCTTTATAACTTCTTATTTTGCTTTCTTGAAGCAGGAGGATGGGTTTCACAGTCATTGTGCATTCTCTTTTGCCACTTTGGCTGAGTCAGCACTGGGGAGTGAATCCCAGGTACTTAGGCCTTTAAAGCATGAATTTCTGCTGCTTGAGACCACAAGATAAATTGTGAAGATTCTGTCTGGGTAATAGATACCAGAGCTGGTGTGTGATAGTCTGTAGCCTGCGTAGGTACTGGGTAGGTTGTACTTTGCACAGAACTAAAAAACTGACTTTATAAGGTGCTAAACAGGAGAATTAGGCCCCAGAATTTTAAATTTTTAATTGAACTTTTTGACTATAGAATGAATTCCATCTACAGTGATGTGCTGAACATGAGCATGTGACACATGAGCACGTTTTTCCCCCCAAAATGTTTGAAAGCTGTGTGGGACACTTAGGCTGGAGGATAGAGGGGGACTTTTTAGCAACTGAAAGCTAAACAGAATCAGTTAATGTGTCCAGTTGTGTAGAAGATCTTCAAAGGAAAAAAATAAGTAGTCAGAATCAGAAGCATTTTTGCAGACATTCTGATGGGAAAAGGAGCAGACTTACTCTCCGTATCAATTTCTCATCTCAGTGTTTTAGGAAGGAGAAAGAAAAAGGGAAATCAAGTATTACAGTATAATATTTTGTTCTTTGGGGGTAAAAGTGAGCATTAGGTATTGGATAGAAAGAGGTTGCTTTTGTGCCACGTAAATCAATTTGTGTTATGGTTACTGGTGAAGAGAGTCTTGTTTCAGTGGTGTATTCTACCCATCAAAAGCTGGTGGTGGTGGTGGTTGTTATTTAAGTTACTGGATCAGTCCTAGGTTGTCTTTTAAACTCTTTGTGTTTATAATGTATGGTCTCTTTTATGGGTAATAGTGTATTTCACATCTCTGTTTGTCTCTCTGTCTTGATAAAAACATTTTGCATAAATGATTACTCCAGGATTTTTTTCTATCCATTGAAAAGTGGCCAACTGAAAAAGGAAGCTAAGCATCTTGGTGACTTCCTGTATAGACTTGTGTATTGTGTGCAATTTTTTTCTTCATTTGGCACATTTAATACTTTTGTTTTATTTCAGCACAAAAATAAACCACGTGTGGTGACCTTTGCTAGAAGCAACTCCATTTCCTGGGCAGCTGCTGCTACATGCTGCCTATCTGACAGACAGGGCTAGGTCATGGTTACCAGAGGACATCCTCGTGGTCATAACCAAGTTGTAAATGTCACTAAGATTCTTTCTGAATGCCTATCACATATGTATCACTGATTCTGAAGTAGATAAAGTGAGCCAAAGATTCATTTGGGAGTTGGGACTCCCAGAAGATTACTTCTAAAGCAGAATAGCAGGAGTTGTGACATGCATCCATAAGCAGTTGTAGTGATTTGACAGTTATTTAGCCTTCAGTTACTAGCCCTTTGGTTGAACTGACAGCATGCCTGCAAAGATAGTGAGGCCTATTTCAGCCCCATTAATGTCGTCTTGAATGTGAGCCTGTAGTCTGGAAAATGATAAATGTTCTGTGATTGATGATTTTATAGTCCCAGGGGATTCTGGGTGGTTTCTGGTTGTTGTGAGCCTGAGCAATTTCCACCCCCCTCCCTTGCTTGGGCCTCAGCTTTAAATTTCTGCCTAGCCTTTAGTACGAAGAGATTTAAACAAGTGAGTATTAAGGCACCTTAAGCAAAGTTTTACAGAGCAAATGTCATTTCCAGAATAGTTAAAGTGATCCAGCCCCCAAAAGATTCAGATACTTCTGTATTATTTAATTTTTTGGAAACATTGTCTATGAGGACACAGATTATTAGGTAGAAAAATAGTGCAGTTGCTTTTTAGATAGGGCAGGGAGGGGACTTGAGTGATGTAAAATACAGGCAGAGTATATTTTCCACAAGATATTCAGATCTGAAAGCCAACTTTATGATGAATGACCAATTGCAATTCTGTACATTTAATTAGAAGAGTGTCATTACACTCAATTAGTAGGGCTGCCAAATAATCTGTTTAATACTCTGGTCTTTTTTTCTCTAGGGTTTTGCAGACAGCCCTCATTACGGTGATCACTTGAATGACAGTCGATTAGGGCCCCATGAAGGATTGTCCCCGACACCTTTCATGAACTCAAATCTGATGGGTAAGTAGGTAATGCTTTGCGAGTAGCCCCTCAATGCCTCTCTGGTCAGAAAGAGACATTTTTCATTCCCTTGTCTAGGCCTGACACATCAAGCATCTGGAAGTTACTGTGTTTCTCATGGCAACAGTGACTTTGCTATCTAAGTCTTTCTTCACAGAGCAAGTTGTGACAAGTGCAGCTTTCTTAACAAAGGGACTTTATCCAAGATTTTGGAAAGAGACTGGAGTTCCCATAGTTTAGCTAGCTGAACTAGGAAGCTATGCATAAAAATCTAAACTATAAGAAATCAGTTTCAAATTGCTGTGTTGTAAAAGCAAAATGTGTGAAAATTTTGTTTGCTTTTAGTTTTCTGCTTATTTTGCTGCAATGAAATTTGGACTAGATCATTTGCACACATTTTCAAAAATTTGGACGTCTTTTTTGAGTTGAGATCCGGACAATACATCAGGGTTGTCCATTTTGTTCAGTGCCAGTTTCTTTACCATTTGTAACAAATTGCATGCGATACCCAAGCAAAATTGTGCAGTGATTTACTTATACGCAGTAACTCTAGCCATTACGGTGTCTATGCTTGGGTTTCCCCTGCTGCTCTCCACTTTTTGAAAAGACTCAATATTAAGGGAATGACGCATTATTTTATTAGTTTAACAAATTGTTTTTCTTGCCTGGACCTTGGTCATGCTAGAACATTTTAATATGTTAATGGCAGTGTTGTGTGTCTCCCCCTCCCCCTTCCCTGGATTTGTAGCCTAAAATCATCAATTTCAAGTATTTACTCTTAGGAAGAGGAGTGTCTCAGGGAAAATGTCTGTCTAGTTTGTGTCTTAAGTTTTAAGGATGGCTCTGTGCATTTGCTTTACATCTGTAAAGTTGACATTGTTTCATTTTATGTATTCTGTTTCTTGTGTATGTGACCTATTTTGTGATCTCAGTATTGTCCTTTTAAGACACAGCCATGGTAATCTAAGTGGATTAGCTAAATCCAAATCCTGGTGGTCTGCAATTTCTTTTGGAAATCTTTCTACTTTGCTTTGTCTTAGTTTACTAGTTTAATCTTCCACAATGTATAGGAGCAGACAGACTAAAACCACTGTGCAGCTATTGTTAAAAAGTGGTTATCTCAAAATTTGCTGTATGAATCTCTAGTGCAATTTAGTGTGTGTGTGTACATGTATAATATATTGCACATCGCAAGGTTAGTGGACTTACAGTTGAAGATCAGTGAACTTAGTAAGTTTGGCATCCCATTGGTGTGATAAAGGAGAGCGAAGCTTTCCCCTATTGTTTCATACAACAAAGCCAATTTTTTCTTTGTCTCTTTTTGGTAGCAAACCTAAAAAAAGACAAATAATTAACTGTATTAATGTTTTCACCACATTTTCAGTCAAGAGCACATATGGCTTGCCGTTGGGTTTAATATCTGCTTTATTCTCTGCATATATTATATATGGCAGATTTAGACTTTAATTGTATACAAAAATGGGACAGACTGTCCTTTCATGTTTTGTTTTGAATCACTCATTTCCTAAACAATAACTTATAAGTGCAGAAAATACTGATTTTTCTGTCTCCTCCTAGTTCTTCAATTTTACTTAAGAGATAACTAGATGATTCTATTAAATGTAATGGAATTATATCATTAGTAGAGATTTGAGAAGAAGCCTCCATTGAGATTGCTTTGTAAGGGGAATTACATGAATTGTGAGAGATATGCATGTCAATCATTTGCTTGTAGCAGCTGTGAACTGAAATATTTTTGTAATGCAATACAGCTACGTTTCTGGTTTCGTCTTTGTTAGAGCAATTGTCTTTCATTCCCCTTTATCTTCAGTAAAGAATTATAAAACGCTTTCTGATATACTCGTGTATACAAAATATATAACCCAAAACTATAAATGACTGTTTAAACATATGCCAGTAGTTATCTGTGTTACACAATTCACAGAAAAGAATTCACATTTTTTTGTTTGTTTGTTTGCCTTACAGAGTAGGAAAGTGTACTATACCACATTGTTAAGAATTTTAACAAATAAATCCTATAGCAATGTGGAATGCTGAAAGGAGAGGGGAATAAAAAAGTTACCTCTTAAGTTTTTTAAAGGATTTTGCTATTCCACAGTAGGATTTAGATTTATGATACTTTCTGTAGTAACAAGAAAAATTATATTGTCTGAAGTTACACTTCTTAAACTTTAATGTTAGATTGATGACCCTAGCAAGTTAGTTCTTGGTTATTAGTATTTTCCCAATTGGAGAGCCATTCTAAATAGTGAAACCAATTCACTGTGTGAACTACACTAAGTAGCAATATTTGATGCGTGAGGCAAAGTTATTCTACAAGACAATTTAACAGTCTTTTTGTATCTGAGGAGGGGAAAAAAACATTGGATTGAGAGTGACAACTTGGGGGGGTGTGTGTGTGTGTGTGTGTGTGTGTGTGTGTGTAAAATCTGACCAGATTAATCAAGAGTGGCACTCTAAGCTTCAAAATCTCTCTCTTACAGCATGGTAGTAGATCTGAAATGTGTCACTGAAATAGTTAAAACTAATAAAAAGAGCAACAACCATATTTCATCATTGCTGTCAACACTTAAAAGCACTATTAAAAAGAAAGAATGTATGTCAAGAGGATGTTGTTATTTTGTGTATTATGTTCAGCCATAAGCATATTTGCCTGAAGAGATAGTGGATTATAAAGTGCCACTGTCGTTCATGATGGAGCTCTCAAACACTTTAATGATCTTGTACGTTGCAAAGGAGAGAAATTTTGTCTAACAAGAGTTGATAATGATTCAATAATGAACAATTTGCCACAGAAAGATGCATTTCCATATTCATTTAGATACTTTTGAAGTGTTTTGCAGAGAAAGTAAAGCTATTATGTTGGATCGGTTGGCATTCTTCACTAATGAATTCCAGAATTATCCTGTTGATTTGTCAGTATGAAAAAGAGGCCATTGCTTGTATTTCATGTGAAACCAGTGAATCCTCTTGGCACCAGCATACACCATTAGTATCATATATAGACTTGTACAAAATCAGACTAAAATATGTTGGCTGTAATGTAGAGCCATTTAGAGCTAATAATATTTGCTTATTCAACACTTAGTGTTTTAATTACTTTATATTCTAGAAGAATATTCACAAGAAAATTAAGTGTTTTTTTTCCCATGTAATTATGTAGCATTTTAACTTTTCAGTTGCAAACAAAGGCCAGTTATCAAGTGAATCTGTAACAGGATATTACATGGTGTTGTCTTCCCTTCCTCATCCCCTAAAGTTAATTGCGCTGAAGTATAGAGCTCATTTTCCTAAAAGTAGGAAGGAAAATGGCCGAATCATTCCTTTAATATAACCTTGTAAGGGTTTTTTGTTACACCTGTCAGCATAAAGTGTGGATCACCACTCTCCTTCTATCATGGAACTGTTGCTGCTGTAGCTGTCAGCAGAATTTCCTAGTAGAGATGTAGAATATTCTCGAAGGGGATTTTCTCTTGTATAGTTATACCACCTCCTCATATGACATTAGCTAAATCACCAGAAGCCTTTTTCTGTGTGGCTTTTCTAGAGAAGGGCTTTTGACAGCTTAGTGCCATTGCCTGGGGTATATAGTGTTTTGAGATGTCTTGCTGAGATAGCCTTGTTGGCAAAACTTCATATCATAAGCCTACCTTTTCTGCAAGGGAGAAAAAAGGATGAAGGCAGAG